GGAAGAAGAGCCAGGTTGACCAGGCACTCTACTTCAAGGTCGGCGATGATGGTGTGACCTGCTGGGTGTTGGTCTACGTCAACGTCCTGTTCGCCGCCAGCAGTACCACCGCGATGCTGAGGGAGCTGAAGGAGCTGCTGGAGGCCGCCTTCGAGCTGCGCAAGATCTCGCCGGTCGTAAAGTACCTTGGGCTGGAGATCAGGCCTGTCGCTTGCAGGGCGTTTGCCCTGCTGGACCTTGAATTCCAGGGCTGGGTTGCCCTTGGAAACTGAAATTGATGGGTTGGAAAAATTATGGCCCTAATTCCTTACACGAATGATTTTGGGCTTAGGCCTGGTGTGTAAAGGGTAGATTTTAGGCGAGCCCTGAAACAAAATCTTTCTAGTCCCCCCCCACCCATCTCCCCCCCCCCACACCCCCCCAAGTCATCCACTCCCCCTCCCCCCCGGTTCTATTCTAACCTGATTGCATCCAACCTGGCAAATTCGGAATTGCGTGGTTGGGTCGGAATTTAGACTGGAGGGATGACTACCCAACCCTCATGCGCTTGTGGCGTGCACTTGCTGTCCTGCCCCTTAACGCTGCTCTTAGTGATTTTAAGCTAGGTCAGCTGAAACTGTTAAGATGCTAGACTATCCAGTGAAATGGATAGAAGTGCACAAAATCTTCAGTGCTGCCAAGGCTAGGAAGCTTGCTAAGCGTGCGTAGTGAAATGACGCCAACTAGTTTTCTTTAGGGTGCGTGTGATATTTTTCGAACTTCCCCAAGTTCAAACTTTTTGAAAGGTTCTACACGGTAGGACTGTCAGAAATAACTGAGCAGGAATGGAATGAACTAGCACAGAGTTTGGTACAAGTAGGAAACCCTAACTTTGAGTACCCCCTAAGGTGTAACCCACTACAGCCTACACAACATAAACATGCAATGTTTGACACACCCCCATAGGCGCAGTGGGAGACAACCACAGGCTCACAAGACCAGTCAAAGCAAAGCAAAGCAAGCTCAGGGTGGATCTCAAGGATTCCACACAAATTCCGAGCACAAGCAAGCGGTCACAAGACCAGTTCACATGCAGGTTTATAACAAAGCAAGAGATACAGTGATCACAACCTAGCAAAAGTAAACAAGTAGGCATATATATATAGTGATCACAGTACAAGCAAGGTCAAGAGGTAAGCAAGTGAGGCCCAGTGGGTACAAGGCCTAGCAGAGTGCAAAAGCGCTGATGGTCACAAGGCTGAAGCGCCTTGGTGAACACATCAGCAGTGTTGGCCTCCGTGGCCACGTAACGCAGACAAAGCTGACCACGCTGCTGCAGCTCTCGAGCAAGGAAGTACCGCAGAGCGATGTGCTTCGTTCTGTGCTCCAGTCTGTGCTCCTCACACAAGGCAATGGCAGCCTTGTTGTCGACGTACAGCACTGGAGGAGAACGAGGCCGCTCTCCGAGGTCGGTCAGCAGGTAGGTCAGCCAGCGTAGCTCCTGAGCAGCCATGGCTGTGGCGTAGATCTCAGCCTCACAACTGGAGCTGAGAACAGAAGAAGAGCGAGTAGAACGCCAAGAAACTGAGCCAGAGCCAAGGCTGAAGGTGTAACCCTGGGACGACCGCTGAGTAGCCTGGTCGTCTGCCCAAGAAGCGTCTGAGTGCCCTGTGAGAACAACCCGGTCTCGCCCTCCAAGCACAAGCCCCATGCCCGACGTACTGCACAAGTAGCGCAACACCCTCTTAGCAGCATCCATGTGCTCCTTCCGGTGACGGCCAGGAGCGACATAGCGTGCTAGGATGCTAAGAGGGTATGCAAGGTCAGGTCGAGTGCAGGTCATCAGGTACATGAGGCAGCCCACAAGCTCTGGATACGGGCCACTCGGCTCTACGGACTCATCCGAAGGCAGAGCTGAGAGCGAGTGACCGGTAGGCAGAGGAGTGGACTGAGGCGAGGAGTACGTGAAGCGGAAGCGCTGAAGGACCTACTGCACCATGTGTGACTGAGTCAGGGTGATGGTGCGCCGTGCTCTGTCCCGGGTGATCCGCAAGCCAAGATAGCTCGTCAGCTCACCCAGGTCTGTACACGTGTGTCTCCTCTGCAGCTCCGACTTCACGTGAGCGAGTGCCGCGGTGTCAACAGTGGCAAAGACCAAGTCGTCGACGTACACGAGGATGTAGAACGGCGGCAGCGAGGTGTCGGTGCGTAGAAACAGCGACGGGTCAGCAGTAGAGGGAGCGAACCCAAGAGCCGCAAGTGTCGTCCTCAGTGTGTCGTGCCACTCACGTGGCGCCTGGCGGAGACCGTAGACCGGCCGCTGAAGCCTCCACTGGGTGCCAGGAGGAACTGACCCAGTGAAGCCAAGGGGGCGGCGCAGCCAGATCTCCTCGTGCAGGCTGCCCTGCAAGAAAGCAGTGCTGAAGTCAAGAGAGTGAAGCTCGTAGTCGCGGTGAGCGGCTATGTGCAGCAGCACCCGAAGAGTAGTCATCTTCGGGGTGGGGGAGAAGGTCTGAAAGAAGTCTACTCCCTCTCGCTGACTGAAGCCTCGAGCCACGTAGCGCGCCTTGAAGACAGGTGGAGAACCCGGCGGCCGCTTCACCCTGAAAATCCACATGCCACTGACGATGTTCGCCCCAGGAGGGGGAACCTCGTCTACGTAGGTGCCTGTGGACTTCCAGGAGGCCATCTCTGCGTCCATGGCTGTCTGCCACTGAGAGGAGTAGGGACCCGCCATCGCCTCAGCGTAAGAGCGTGGGGTCGGGATGTCTGGTGCATCCGGGTCTCCCTCAGGGGCAACTAGCAAGGACACGAGACGGGGCAAAGCAGCAGCAAAGCACTGAAACTCCTCCTGTCTGTCCTCAAGGACGTCCGTGCCGAGGGCACACTCACCCCCGACGGACGGAGGACAGGCAGACGCAGACTCAGACCTAGCGACAAGGCTGGCAGCGTAGTCTAGGCGACAGCGAGCAGCAAAGTCAACCAACTCAGCGACCAGAGCAGACGCAGCAGAGGACTCAAAGGTCGGGTCAGTGACAACTGTAGCGAGGAGACGCGTAACAGTGGGACTGGCAGCACGACGGGAGTCAGACTCCGGGTCAGGAAGAGTAGGAAGAGAGGACGCAGGAGGAGACGGCAGCGGGACACGCTGCGGAGCAGTGGAGGGACGCAGAGTCATGTAGTGAGTGCCAGGGACAGGAGGAGGACGCTCACGTGGGACACGACGACCAGTGCGAGCAGTACGAACAGGCGACGCAGGACGAGACTCAGGCTCACGACGCTCTGTAAGACCTCCTGTGGGACCAGCGTAAGGGGAGGGAGCAGGGAGAGGCGAGGCAGGCGGTAACTGTGACTGCGGCTGGACAGGCAGAGGACACTCGACGGAGGGAGGAGGACTAGGAGGAGGAGCCTGACCAAGAACCTGCTGAAGGAGCGGTACGAAGTACGGTCGCGGCCGCGCAGCGTCTCCAGAAGCAGCAGGGACACCAGTGGCAGCCCCAACGCCCGAGTCCTCAGTACCAGCAGCAGCTCCAACGCCCGGGTCCTCAGCACCAGCAGCAGCACCACCGGTCGGGTCCTCAGCACCAGCAGCAGCTCCAACGCCCGGGTCCTCAGCACCAGCAGCACGGCCACTGGTCAGGTCCTCAGCACCAGCAGCAGCGCCACCGGTCGGGTCCTCAGCACCAGCAGCAGCTCCAACGCCCGGGTCCTCAGCACCAGCAGCAGCTCCAGCCCCCGGGTCCTCAGCACCAGCAGCAGCTCCAGCGTCCGGGTCCTCAGCACCAGCAACAACACCACCGCTCGGGTCCGCAGCACCAGGAGCACCACTACGAAGACTGCAGCGCCGCGTGTACCACTCGCGGATCACCTGAATGGGGGGGAGCTCCTGGGTAGGAGGGGAAGTACCGGGACGAGCTCCAGAAGCACCTCTCCGGAGGCGGCAGTACTCGAGGTACCTCTCCTGCAGCTGCTGGGAGGAGAGGGCTCCTCCAGGTGGAGCACGCTCAGGCTCAGCACCCCCAGACTCAGCACCCCCAGACTCAGCACCCCCAGTCTCAGCACGTCCAGGCTCAGCACCCCCAGGCTCAGTACCTCCAGGCTCCGCACCTCCAGGCTCCGCACCTCCAGGCTCCGCACCTCCAGGCTCAGCACCCCCAGGCTCCGCACCTCCAGGCTCAGCACCCCCAGGCTCCGCACCCTCAGACGCAGCACTCCCAGGCTCAGCACCCCCAGACGCAGGACGCGAGTCAACAGCTACCTCGACAGGCTCACCCGGGTCTACCTGGGACACACCTGAGGGAGCGGCACCCTGAGGGGGGAGGGGGTCTGGTACCTCAGCACCTGGAGCGAGGAAGAGAGGCGGGGGGGGGAGCGGGGCAGTGCGGTAGGGGAAGAGGCGGTAGAAGGGGACGGACTCGTCAAAAGTGACGTCCTGAGAGGCCAGAACCCGGCGCGAGGTGACGTGGTAAAACTGCCATCCAGGCGCGTCGGGAACAAAGCCAAGAAAGACACAGGGAACAGCGCGACGCGAGAGCTTGTCCGCGGACGTGTCGCGGACAAAAGCTCGAGATCCCCAGACCCGGAAACGCGACGCATCGCCAACCTCTCCCGTCCACCGTAGAGTCGGGGAAGTCTCCGGCAAGGAGACACGGGGCCAGAGGTTGAGCTGATGCGCTGCGTACCGGACCGCAAACGGCCACAGAAAGTGGGGAGCAGCCGCATGGGTCAGGGAGGTACGAGCGACCTCCATGACCAAGCCAATGCGGCGCTCAGCGACCCCATTCTGCTGTGGAGAGGCCGGAAGCGTGTACGACTGCTCAATGCCGTGCTCAGCACAGTAGGCTGCCAAGAGGTCGGAGGCAAACTCACCACCTCTGTCAGAGTGCAAGCGCAGGACAGGAAAGTCCGAGTGAAAGCGCTCGCCTAGCTGGAGACGGGCTCGGCTGATCCAGGGGATCAAAACACCAGGGACGTCACCCTTGGCGCGCAAGGGGAAGACCGTGGTGTAGCGCGAGTAGTCGTCAACAACTATCAGGAAGTATCTCTCCTGACCCTGACCACGGACGCGGGCTGGGCCCCACACGTCCATGTGGAGCGTCTGCAGGGGAGCGGTCGTCGGGGGAAAGGAGGAGGAGTGAGGAGCGGCGCGCTGCCGCCCCTCGACACAGGGAATGCAGTCAGGAGCAGGGGAGTCAGGAAGGGGAGGGAGCACCCTGGGAAGACCAGCAACAAGGTCCCGTTTGTGCATGGCCCGCAGGCGCTGCACAGACGGGTGACCAAGGCGGTGGTGCCAGAGGACGGTGTCGTTCGCCAGAGAGCGACACGAGCAGGGGGCGGACAGCTGACCTGACGCTGACGCAGACGCAGCTACCTGAGGGGACTCAGTGGTCAGTGTGTACAGGTCAGACCCCGGCTCTCGAGTGAAAGTAGCTAGGTGGCGGCCCGTCCGAGCACACGTGCAGTGAGTCACACGCTCGTAGGCAGGGGTGAACTGGTGAACACCCCCGTCCTGGAGCGCACTACCTGCCACCAAGTTCGTGGAGAACGAGGGGAGGTAGAGACCTGAGAGCGTGCCGGACGGAACCGCTGGACACGGAAGGGTGGTGGAGGAGGTCGCAAGGACCGGACCCCCAGAGGGGTCAGCAAGAGAGACAGCAACCGGCCGAGCTAGAGGCTCAAGGACAGTGCGGTCACGAAAGAAAGAGCGAGAAGCACCTGAGTCCAGTGTGAAGGTGTGCAGTGCTGCAGTCGACTCAGTACCAGGGGGCACAGACGCACAAGCACCTAGAGCAGCAGCTGCAGTAGTACCTGTGGAAGCAGACACACTAGCACCTAGAGCAGCAGCGGGGCTGGCCTGAATGCCCGGGTCGGGCGGAACACGCAAGTACTGAGCACCCTCTCCACTAATAGACATCGCATACATGGCAGTGAGAATAGCATCAAAGTCTAGTGCCCAAATATCAACACCCTTCCTGAGCAGCTCAGCCCAGCGCGGCAGCTCACCCCCACCAGGAAACTGGGTGCGCCACGCATCGTTGAGGCGGGCGAAGCAGCGCTCCGTCTGGTGCGGCCCCCCACACGTCTGGCCAGTGCGGTCACCTGTACGAATAACGTACTGGCAGGTGACGCTGCGCCGCGCATACCACTCACGGGCGGCCTGAAGGGTCGGGGCAGGCTGCTGACTCTGACCGCCCCCCGGGCCTCCACGACCACCACCCCCTCCGCCTCCGCCCCGGCCACCTCCACCCCTGCCGCTGCCACGACCACCTCCGCCTCCGCTGCCACCTCCGCCCCTGTCACCACTCCCAACGCCGCTGTCACCTCCACCACTGCCGCCACTAGCCTCTCCAGTCGCACCTCCACCGCCACCACCTCCACCCCCGCCTCCTCCGCCACCACCCCCACTCCTGCCACTCCTGCCCCTGCGTCGTCCGCCTGAAGCAGACGCAGCCCCGACCTTCTCAGCACCAAGGAGGTCGACAGCAGCAGCAGAGGCGACAGAGGGGAGGAGGGGGGAAGGGGAGCACCCCTCAAAGAAGGGGCCGCGGGGGTCGCCACGAGAGGTGCCTACAGCGACGATACTAGCCTCGGCTGCAAGCAGTTCCTTCTCGAGGAGGTCTACGGTGAGCTCAGTGGGGGAGCGAGAGAGGAACTGGTCCCTGACAGGGCGCAGAGAGTCAGGGAGGCGGGTGACAACGTGGTAGAGAGTGATCCAGAGCGGGGGGGGGTTGCTAGCGAGGAACTCGTCAGGCATGGCAGCGCGAAAGCGAGCCTCACTAGTCTTAAGGTGGGTGATGAGGTCTGCGACAGTGTGAAAGGAGGCTAGGTCGGGGAACAGGTAGGGGAGAGTGAGGCGGCCTAGCGTGGCAGAAGCGGGTGAGGAGTAGCGGGCCACTACAGCTGTGTAGAGGTCCTTAGCAGTCTTGCACTGGCCGAAGTGCTCGCGCTCATCTAGCGGCAGGGAGTTGCGAATAGCAAAGCGAGCGTGCGCGTCACGGGTCTGCCACTGTGAGCGCTCAGCTGGGGGGGCAGTAGCGAGTGGGGCGGTCGCATGGCCGAGAGCGTGGTCGTACAGTGTAATATCTTCCTTGGCAGTGAGCTGTAGGAAAAGGTGCAGGTCATCTAGCCAGGTTTCGAATTTGACCGGACGGCCCTCGGCGTCGAAAGCTAGAACAGGAGGACTAGCCATAGCGACAGCGGCAGTAGTAGAAGCAGTAAAGTCACTGAAAAGGCGTGCGCAGGGTCAGCGGGGCCGGTGGGGCCTACGGACTGTAGTGGCGCACAAGCAGCAGTAGCAGGAAGTGTAGTAGTAGGATCTGTAGTGGTGCACAGGCGCAGCAGGCGGCAGCGAGAGCCGGCGCAGCAGGGGCGGGCTCAGCAGCGGTGATACGCGGGCGGCGGCGGGCGCAGCAGCGGCGGTGCGCGGGCGGCGGCGGGCTCAGCAGCAGCGGTGCGCGGGCGGCTGCGGGCTCAGCAGCGGCGGGCCGGGAGCAGGCAGCGCGCGGGCCGTGCGGGCCGTATGTGAGCTGCGCGGGCAGCGTGCGGGCCGGCGGCGGTCAGCGCAAGAGCCGCGCAGGCTCAGCGCGGGCTGCGCGGGCTGCTCGCGGGCTGCGTAAGCGGGTCGCGGGCGGCTCGCGGGGGTTCGCGGGCAGGTCGCGGGCTGCTCGCGGGCAGTTCGCGGGCTGTGCGCGGGCTGCGCGGGCTGGTCGCGGGCTGCGCAGGCGGTTCGCGGGCTGTGCGTGGGCGGTTCGCGGGCTGTGAGCGCGGCGCGCTGTGCGGTTCGCGGGCGGCGTGACGGGGCCGATCGGGGCGCTAAGGGGCGACGCGACGGGGGCCGTGAGAGGCCGCTAGGAAAAAAAAAAAAATTCGAAGGGGCCGCAGGGCCGCTAGATCGTGCTAGATCGACGGGGCCAGCGGGGCCGGAAACAAGCGAAGGTAAGCAGGTAGGTAAGTCGGTGGGCCCTAAGAACAGTCCTAGCGAAGGACCTGCTCTGAAACCATGTCAGAAATAACTGAGCAGGAATGGAATGAACTAGCACAGAGTTTGGTACAAGTAGGAAACCCTAACTTTGAGTACCCCCTAAGGTGTAACCCACTACAGCCTACACAACATAAACATGCAATGTTTGACAAGGACACTATTGAGAGATTTTTCGCCATTGTGCAAAGCGATTGAAGTTCGAACTTTGACATTTTTTCAAGGATCACATGCGCCCTTATGTCATGTTTGCTTTACGTGCCAAAATTGTTTCAAAGGGAGGAGAATTTTCCAGCCCTGAAGCCTAAAGAGCCGAGATTCGGCTGGTCGGCTGCGTGTCCCTGATGACGCAGGCGACAAGCAGAGTCGGACGAGCACGAGCGGCTAGGCGTTCTTCTACGGAGGGGTCGTGGTCTCCAGGTCGAGCCAACGCATCAAGTATGCAACATTGTCGTCGACCAAGTCGGAGTACGCGGCGGCCACAGACGGATGCTGGCAAGGAGGGACGCCGACTTCGCTTCCTTCTTACGTAATCTCAACAGCTGGACGCTGGGAAGCCGACTGTCCAACGAGTGGACAAAAAATAGGCTATCACGGTCGATGAGGGCTTGGGGCTAACGAGCAACCTCAAGCACATGGAGCGACGCTATGCCTGGCTGCAGCACATGGTGAGGCGCGGGAAGTTCGTGCTGAAGTACATCCCGACCACCGAGCAGCCGGCTGACTTTCTGACGAAGGCGCTGCTCTTTTCGGCTTTCAACCGGTGTTCCGTCGCGATTGGCCAAGTGCGCCTGGCCAACGATGGCGACGGTGACGATGATGTGCAGCAGTAGGTGCCGTGCCCTTCTACACGGCTTGTGCGGTGACGGCGTGCTGTGCGTGGGTTGCACGCCGAGGACGAGTACTGCCGTGGAGTACTACCGTGTGGGCTGGGGAGCCCAAGCGTGAGCGCACCAGGGGAGTGTTAACGGGAATGGAGTGTTGGCTCCGCCTTCGCTTGGGCAACGCCAATGTCTAGTCAGATGTACGAGAATAGCAGCCAACCGTACGCAGTGAGGAAGCTCCCTCGACGGGCTTCGTCGAGCTGCAGAGGATCGCTGCGTCGTTGCCGTCGACTAGGGGTGCTTGACGGCCTTCTTCTGCGGGGCAGGTCGACGAGGTGGTCGTCGACCTACACAGGACAGTCGCGGAGCTGGAGATGTCGACCTGGGGAGCTCGACGGCTGCAGCTGGCCGAGCTGGTCGATGGATGGGCCGTCCACCAGGAGAGGCAGTTCGACGGGCGCGGTGGTCGAAGAGGGGTTCGTTGACCAGGGCGCACACTGGGTGGTCGACCGGGTCGACCAAGGTAACCTGCTCGGCGAAATCTGCGGAGGCACGCGAACGTCGTCGAGGTCGCGGTTACGAAGGCGACTTCGGGCTGGTATCCCGAAGTCGATGTGGCTCGTCAAGTGCAGATTATTGCCGACAAATGCATAACGGTGCAAGTTGGGCCAATCGTCTGCGCGCACGTGCATACGTGCGCACTGATGTCTTCTACGGGTGCAACGCTGGACAGCCGCTCTGCTGCAGTGTTGGCACACCGTCGATCTGCTGTGTTGGCAGGCCGCATTTATGCAGTGCTGGCGCGGCTCCTCTACGCAACGTTGGCTGGCGGTCGACCATGCTGTGCTGGCGGTCGACCAGGCTAGCTGCAGAAAAGCTAGGTGCCTGATGTAGTCATTCTTGCCATTGTATATTCTAACATTCTGTAATGAAAACTTTGCTAGTGCCAATTTCTCCCGTGAATGTGCAAGTGCTAAGGAACTAGGCAAAGCTACGATCACACCTAGAGTTTATGCCAACACCCCGTAGTCTAGCTCACGACTATTGTTGAGTAACTCTCTGCAGTTAAGACCTAGGAACTGTGTGGCGTTGTGGTTGATGGTCATCTCCAGATTCTCCTTGATCTCCTCCTCGAACCGGTCGAGTAGTTCCCCGTCATCGCCGTTGTAAAGCAGATCGTCGACATAGGCTACGAGGAGGATGAACTTGCCGCGTGACTCCTTCCGGTACATGGCTTGGTCGTTCGGCAACTGAACGAAGCCAAGTTCGATGAGGACGTTGTGCAGGTACAGCTGCCACAGTCATGGCGCTTGCTTTATGCTGTAGAGAGATTTCTGGAGAAGGCAAATAGCGCCGTCACTTTCCTCGAGCACGTGCGGCTGCTCCACGAAAATAATGGCATCGACGATCGCGTACAAAAACGCGTTGGAGACGTTGATCTGCCGGAGCGGTCGTTGCTTGATGGTTGCGATGCACATGAGGATGCGCACCGAGGTGTTCCATCCGACGGGTGCGAACGTTTGATCGTAGTGCACCGGGTGAGTTTTCTCGAAGCCCCGCACTACCCATCTCGCCTTGAATTTATCGATTGAGCCGTCCGCAATTGTTTTAATTCATAAGACTGACTTGCCGCTGAGTATCTTTCTCCCTTTTGCAGATGATCGGGGAATGAGCTTCCAAGTCTCGCGGCGCTTCAGTGCTGCAACTTCCGCAACCACGGCTGCCTTCCATTTTTCGCTGTTAGGCCCAGACATGGCCTTGCTGTCAGAAATAACTGAGCAGGAATGGAATGAACTAGCACAGAGTTTGGTACAAGTAGGAAACCCTAACTTTGAGTACCCCCTAAGGTGTAACCCACTACAGCCTACACAACATAAACATGCAATGTTTGACACACCCCCATAGGCGCAGTGGGAGACAACCACAGGCTCACAAGACCAGTCAAAGCAAAGCAAAGCAAGCTCAGGGTGGATCTCAAGGATTCCACACAAATTCCGAGCACAAGCAAGCGGTCACAAGACCAGTTCACATGCAGGTTTATAACAAAGCAAGAGATACAGTGATCACAACCTAGCAAAAGTAAACAAGTAGGCATATATATATAGTGATCACAGTACAAGCAAGGTCAAGAGGTAAGCAAGTGAGGCCCAGTGGGTACAAGGCCTAGCAGAGTGCAAAAGCGCTGATGGTCACAAGGCTGAAGCGCCTTGGTGAACACATCAGCAGTGTTGGCCTCCGTGGCCACGTAACGCAGACAAAGCTGACCACGCTGCTGCAGCTCTCGAGCAAGGAAGTACCGCAGAGCGATGTGCTTCGTTCTGTGCTCCAGTCTGTGCTCCTCACACAAGGCAATGGCAGCCTTGTTGTCGACGTACAGCACTGGAGGAGAACGAGGCCGCTCTCCGAGGTCGGTCAGCAGGTAGGTCAGCCAGCGTAGCTCCTGAGCAGCCATGGCTGTGGCGTAGATCTCAGCCTCACAACTGGAGCTGAGAACAGAAGACGAGCGAGTAGAACGCCAAGAAACTGAGCCAGAGCCAAGGCTGAAGGTGTAACCCTGGGACGACCGCTGAGTAGCCTGGTCGTCTGCCCAAGAAGCGTCTGAGTGCCCTGTGAGAACAACCCGGTCTCGCCCTCCAAGCACAAGCCCCATGCCCGACGTACTGCACAAGTAGCGCAACACCCTCTTAGCAGCATCCATGTGCTCCTTCCGGTGACGGCCAGGAGCGACATAGCGTGCTAGGATGCTAAGAGGGTATGCAAGGTCAGGTCGAGTGCAGGTCATCAGGTACATGAGGCAGCCCACAAGCTCTGGATACGGGCCACTCGGCTCTACGGACTCATCCGAAGGCAGAGCTGAGAGCGAGTGACCGGTAGGCAGAGGAGTGGACTGAGGCGAGGAGTACGTGAAGCGGAAGCGCTGGAGAACCTGCTGCACCATGTGTGACTGAGTCAGGGTGATGGTGCGCCGTGCTCTGTCCCGGGTGATCCGCAAGCCAAGATAGCTCGTCAGCTCACCCAGGTCTGTGCACGTGTGTCTCCTCTGCAGCTCCGACTTCACGTGAGCGAGTGCCGCGGTGTCAGCAGTGGCAAAGACCAAGTCGTCGACGTACACGAGGATGTAGAACGGCGGCAGCGAGGTGTCGGTGCGTAGAAACAGCGACGGGTCAGCAGTAGAGGGAGCGAACCCAAGAGCCGCAAGTGTCGTCCTCAGTGTGTCGTGCCACTCACGTGGCGCCTGGCGGAGACCGTAGACCGGCCGCTGAAGCCTCCACTGGGTGCCAGGAGGAACTGACCCAGTGAAGCCAAGGGGGCGGCGCAGCCAGATCTCCTCGTGCAGGCTGCCCTGCAAGAAAGCAGTGCTGAAGTCAAGAGAGTGAAGCTCGTAGT